GTATTTCTGCCAAATTTGGTCCAGTGAATGGAAATACATCCTGCATGTCAGATATTTACATGACGATTCATAACAGTAGCAAAATGACAGTTATGAAGTAGTAATGAATATAATTTTATGATTGGGGGGTCACCACAACATGAGGAACTGTATCAAGGGGTCACGGCATTCGGAAGGTTGAGAAACACTGCTCTACAGAATACCTTCAGTATCTTGGATAACTTCTTTAAAGTTTAGACTAAAGCCCAAAACAGATTCAACATGCTCTCATGAGCAACGGTGAGTGCAGAAGAATTCTGGACAGAGTTTGGGGAGGTCTCCGCCACTGCCCAACATACCATGAGGGGTTCCCGCATCAGCTTCAGGAACTTGTGGACGGTTAACGTCGTCAGCGGCCACTCCATCCGGGTCCTTCGGCACGGCTGGGAGGGATCCGTTTGCACGGCACAATGGCAGAAAAAGAGCTGCGAAGAGGGGACTTCGGGCTCTCCACTGCTGTAGGACAAAGAAACACACGAGAAGGCAAACTTCAGCAGTAAGGAAATATATGGTACTCGACTTTCAGCAGAAAAACAAGAAATGCAGATGCAGGATGGGTGACGCTGGGTTGAAAAGAGTCCAAGAGGAAGGGATCTAGGAGTCTTAACAGAGCATAAGAAGACAGGGAGAGGCAACAGCCAAAAAGGCCAATCTAGTTCTATGTTGTGTCCATAGGAGTCCACTGTCTACAAATGAAGGTCCCACTCTCTTCTGCTTGTTTTCTGCTGCCCTGGAAGCCAGGACACAAAGGAACAGTGGGTTCAAATTGCAGAAAAAGAGATTACAACTAAACATTAAGAAGAACATCCGGATAAGACCTATCAGCAGTGGTCTAGACTGCCTGGTGTCTAGCACAGTCTCCTTCTCTGGAAGTTTCCAAGCAGAGGCTGTATAGATGTATGGTCAGGAGGGCTTAGATGGTGTCTTCCTGCCAGGGAAAATGGGGTTGGACTGGATGATCCTTGGGGTCTCTTCCAGCTCTACAATCCTTTGATTCTAAGGTGGGTACAGGATTGAAATTAACTCTGACATAGGGAAGCTGATGAGGAGAAATTAACCACTGACCGCAGAGGGAAGCTGATGAGGAAACACAACATACAAACAATCTACAGACCCACCAAGAAAATCCAACCAATGCTACGTTCAGCAAAGGACAAGAGGGATCCTCTCACCTCTGCAGGAGTCTACCGTATACCATGCAGCTGTGGACAAGTCTCCATAGGGACCACCAAACGCAGCGCCCAGACACGCATCAAGGAACATGAAAGGCACTGCAGACTACTTCAACCAGAGAAGTCAGCCACCACCAAAGGCAGCATTGCCCAAACACGAATCAAGGAACATGAAAGGCACTGCAGACTACTTCAACCAGAGAAGTCAGCCATAGCAGAGCACCTGATGAACCAACCTGGACACAGCATATTATTTGAGAACACAGAAATGCTGGACCACTCTCACAACCACCATGTCAGACTACACAGAGAAGCCATTGAAATCCACAAGCATGTGGACAATTTCAAAAGAAAGGAGGAAACCATGAAAATGAACAAAATCTGGCTCCCAGTATTAAAAAAACAGCACAACAACAGAGAGGAAACAAACAAGGACATCTAATCACCTCGCAACAAAAGATTGCTCCAGGCACCACAGGCAATCAAATGCTAATCAAGGTGGTCAGTTGAAACATTCACACCTAGCTCCAGCAGACAAGAGTCCTTTGTCCCACCCTGGTCATTCCATAGATATATAAACCCATTTTCCTAGTTCCAACAGACCTCACTACCTCTGAGGATGCTTGCCATAGATGCAGGCGAAACGTCAGGAGAGAATGCCTCTAGAACATGGCCATATAGCCCGAAAAAAACCTACAACAACCCAGTGATTCCGGCCATGAAAGCCTTCGACAATACATTGAACTCTGGCATAGTTGCAATTTGAGATATGGATGCTATGTCTCATATCTGGAAAAAAATAACTCTTTGGGAGGTCTGTATCTGGGAAAAAAGTACTTATTTGCTCCATATTTCTGTCAGAGTAGTGTTAGTAACCCACAGAATGTCTCAGCTCCTTTTAATCTCAGTGTGATAAAAATTCAAACATTACACTTGAGTCTGTTGCTTTAAGTAGAAACAAAAATATAGTTCTATCCACTGTAGATCAAAAACACAAAACAAAACAGAAGAATTGTTCTCACCAATATACAACAAACAGTATCTCTGGTGAATCCTCTTCTTCACATGACGATATGCAAACGCATAGCAAAATAATACAGTCTCGCTTCTTAGTTATCTGTAGAATGTCCTTGTCTTGCCATAAACAAGAAGTTTCTCTGGCATTCCAAACAGCTTCACTCTTCACCTTCAGCACGCTGCATAACCACTCCCAGCAACAGCAAAAGGTTTCTTCAGCTCAAAACAAACCATCAAATGAAGCCAAAATGCAAAGCTCAAAAACTTGCAAACCTAGTGCCTTGTTATATGATGAATGTTGGATCTCAGCCTGTGATTGTGTTTCAGGATCAGGGTGCTTTGGATGTAGGGTGTGATGTCAATGAGTTGCAAGATGAGTTTCAAGATGGCAATGGTTTGGCCCGTGAGATCGATGCAGAGAATGACCAGGAGATCCCTGTTCAAGGTGTAGTTTCCCATGAGAATGTCCCTGAGGAGTGTGGGGATGATGGTGTGCTCTCTGAATTGTTACCAGAGAGTTCCCATGATAGAGAACATGAAAACAGCTCGCCATCTGGCCCAGCTGAAGAAATTAATGAGCAAATAGATAGACGGGAGGAGATCAGTCAAAACAGGAGAGCCAAACAGTGGCTTCGGTGTTCTGCCAGGCTCCGAGAGAAAAAGATAAGAAATTCTCAGCTAAAGCGAAACCAATTTCTGAGCTGGAGACATAGCTAACGAGGAGATAAAAGTCCCAAGTACAGGATATGTAGTCAGATGAAGCATTGTTTGGAATCAAGTCAAGACCTCGTCCTAGTTCATGGAAACTTTACTTGGAAAATTCATGTTTTGAGTGCCTTTGTTTCATGGTTTTGCTTCTTGGATTTTATGCTTCTAAATTAATGCCTTGAATTCATGTTTCCTGATTTCTTGCATTTTATTTGGGAAGTTTTGACTTCGTTTTTATGGACTATTACCCTGGACTACTTTGTCCCTGCTTATCTTCCTACCTAATTGGATTTACCTATTGCTTTAAAGTGCTTTTTTTACCTTACTGCTTTTTAATTATTTTCAATAAAATAATTGTTTTTCATCCAACGGTGTGGTATTTGAAGTCAGAGGGCTTTTCCTGTCTTGGAGTGCAACAATGAAGCAGATAACATACCCAATTAACTTGTAACAGAAAAGGTTCTGATCCTCCCTGTTACTTAGAATAAGCCTGTTGTAAATCCATAATAGCAAAAATTTCTACATCCACATCAACCCCACATTGGCCTCATTAGCACCATACACAGAAATTAAAGCAGCCATATGTGTCCCCTGGCCACTATCGGCTGAATACGTACCGGATGCTCCTCAGAAGGGCCACTTCGGTGGTTAAGGCAAACTTGAACGAACCATAGACAAAAGCTGCCTCCATCACAACTCTGTGTTCTGGAAAAAAAAAGAGAAATATACTCTGCAATTTAATGTAGAACACCAATCTACTGCTTCTTCTCTCGCTCACAGAAAAATATGGCCAGGCTGTAAATTGCAATGAAGTTACCAAAATCAGAAAGGAACCTGGTAAATCTGCACGGTTGTGTTGTGGCTGAGATGTTCTCTGATGACGAGGATGATGGGATTCAGATTCCTGGCTCTTTTTCTGTGCCTCACATCTCTGGGCCTGCTTCTAGGTCTTTTTCTGAGGCCACAGACAGTGCAGAGTCAGACAGTGCAGAGTCAACACAGCGGTTCTCAGAAGAAAAGAATTTTAACGAAGGAGAAAGCGAACAGGTGGGGAGGCATTTGCCTCCTTCCCACGCTGGTACTGTAAGTACAGAAAGCCTTGACAGTGACCTGACCTGGCAAGCTCGTCTCGATTTGCGGGTCAGGCGGAGTTCTCGCCTGGCCGGCAGACGAGAAGCCAGCTCGGGGAAAGGTCATCGCAATGCTTTCATGTTGGTGAGAGCATAATGTTTTCATGTTAGAAAGGTATTTAGGCTTCTTTCAAACTAAGAGAAAGCGTCAGTTCAACGTAGCTTATTAGCCTGAAAAAGCTTCATGGAATAACCTTAGCCTGGAAAGTAGTACGCTTGGGATTTCTTGCATTGTGATTCTTGGGGCAATTGTTTCATTGCTTGTAACTTGGACTCTGGTTTGAACTTTGCCTATAGGATTGTGCCTCTTGTTTTTACCTGAAGATCTTTGGAACTATATTCTGCATTTAACCTAACTCTTTGGAACTTTGCAATGCTTATTCTTTATTTTGACTTGGATTTTTTCCTCAATAAACTATAAAACTACAGCTCTTGTGTTTATTTTGACTTGGGGTGCCTGCGCCCTACACCACTGGAGAAGCAAGGTGAAGCTAACTCTGAGTTGCAACAGGTTGTTCCTGTGTTGTCAATATTGCTTCCTAATTGGTTCTATCATACAAACATGGAAAAGGTTTATTAAACTCCAAAAACCTTGTTTCTAATGGACATCCTGCAGTACATTTTGCTCCATTTGTTCCATGAGTATCTTATCATCGAGTCTCAACCCATTTAACATAGTTCAAAGTAAGGTCCACACAATTAAACAGGAAATAACACTTTCAAACCAGGAACATATTTTTTTTCCAAATTCGTTACATAGTGTTATGACTCCAAAAACCACGGCATTCCCCTCATTCATTTCAGATCTACATCCATTTTAGATGAAAATTATGGCAGTACTGCCACAAAGGCCGGACCCCTGTTGATGTCTTACTGGGCATTTTCACGCAATGTAGGAATTTGCAATTAAAAAGTTGCAGAATGCATTGCATCATGACATCATTACTACCAGCTCAGACTCAAAATAGCTAGTGTGTGCAAATAAGCATTGGCCATGTGGATGTGGATGTCTTTGGCTGCACATAGGTAGCACAGTGTTGCAATTCAGTAAGGTTGCTGCATTGTGCAATTATCACATTAGCACAGCCTTCTTGATGGTAGAACAGAAGCTTTCCGAAGCTCTAGGTGCTCTTACTGCCTATTACAGGGGAAACCAGCTGATCCCTAATCCATCTAAAACACAGACATGTGCCTTTCACCTCAAGAACAGAGAAGCATCCCGAGCTCTGAGGATTATTACCTGGGGAGGAATCCCACTGGAGCATTGCAGAGCACCCAAATACCTGGGAGTCACTCTGGACCGTGCTCTTACCTACAAGAAGCACTGCCTGAACAACAAGCAAAAAGTGGGCGCTAGAAACAACATCATACGAAAGCTGACTGGCACAACCTGGGGATCACAACCAGACACAGTGAAGACATCTGCCCTTGCGCTATGCTACTCTGCTGCTGAGTACGCATGCCCAGTGTGGAACACATCTCACCACACTAAAACAGTTCTAGCTTTATAAAGTCTTAAGCCTTCCTTGCCAGAGTGCTGTGACTCATAGTCCAACCCCCTGCCATGCAGGAAAAGCACAAAGTATCCCTGACAGATGGCCATCCAGCCTCTGTTCAAAAGCTTCCTCACCAATCTGCAAATTACAACATCTCATAGCATTGGATCGAGCTCTGAGGATCACCTGGGAAGGAATCCCACTGGAGCATTGCAGCACACCCAAATACCTGGGAGTCACTCTGGACCGTGCTCTGACCTACAAGAAGCACTGCCTGAACATCAAGCAAAAAGTGGGTGCTAGAAACAATATCATACGAAAGCTGACTGGCACAACCTGGGGATCACAATCAGACATAGTGAAGACATCTGCCCTTGGGCTATGCTACTCTGCTGCTGAGTATGAATGCCCAGTGTGGAACACATCTCACCACGCTAAAACAGTGGATGTGGCTCTTAATGAGACATGCCGCATTATCACGGGGTGCCTGCGCCTACACCACTGGAGAAATTACACTGTTTTGTACCACCTGACATCCACCGGGAAGTAGCAGCCAATGTTGAAAGGACCAAGGCAGAGACATCTCCAGCTCATCCCCTCTTTGGGTATCAGCCAGCACGTCAACGACTTAAATCTAGAAATAGTTTTCTAAGATCTACAGAGACACTCGCTGGAACACCTCAGCAAGCGAGAGTCCAAAAGTGGCAGGCTCAAACCCAGCACCTCAACCAATGGCTGATACCAAACGAGAGACTCCCTCCTGGGCACACAGAAGACTGGGCGACTTGGAAGGCGCTGAACAGACTGCGCTCTGGCACCACGAGATGCAGAGCAAACCCCAAGAAATGGGGCTACAAAGTTGAATCCACGACATGCGAGTGCGGAGAGGAGCAAACCGCTGACCACCTGCTGCGGTGCACCCTGAGCCCTGCCACATGCATGGTGGAGGACCTCCTTGCAGCAACACCAGAGGGACTCCAAGTGGCCAGATACTGGTCGGAGGACATTTAATCAACTACCAAACTCGCAAATTTTGTATTTTGTCTGTTTGTTTGTTTTGTTCTGTTAGAAATGTAATATAATTGAGTGGTTGCTGATGACTCGATAAATAAAATAAGCCTTCTTGAACCAGGAGTCCTTGCCATACCACCTCACAACAGCAGGTGGCAGGATTGTGCGCAAGTTCTGCTTCAAAATGTGCCAAATGTCCTGCACATCTGCAAGAAGACCCATGCATGCCAAGCATTGGAATCACAAGTGAAGACATAACACTTTGTGTTACTGGGTTATTTCCTAATTGGTTCTATCATTAAAAAAAAACATGGAAAAAGTTTATTAAACTGCACAAACTTTGTTTCTGAGGGAGGGACATCCTGCTACAGCACATTTTGCTCTAGGTTGTTGTAGTTTTTTCAGGCTATATGGCCATGGTCTAGAGGCATTCTCTCCTGACGTTTCGCCTGCATCTATGGCAAGCATCCTCAGAGGTAGTGACCCGAAAAAACTACAACAACCCAGTGATTCTGGCCATGAAAGCCTTCGACAATACATTTTGCTCTAGTTTTTCAATGAATATCTCATAGAGTCACAACAAATTCAACATAGTTTGTGCCACAAGAACAAAGTTTCTGGAGTAGAACAACTACTTTCAAAGTAAGGACGGCACAATTAAACAGGAAATAATACTTTCAAACCAGGAACAGAAAAAAAAATCTAATTTTGTTACATAGCAAATGTAATTGATGCAGTGAGTTTCCTCTATAGCTGGCCTTCCAAATTTGCAGGATTGATTTTTGAAAGTTTGATTATTCTGGGATATGGATAAAAAAGACGAGTTAGGAATTTTGGATTTTTTCAGGTTCTAAAAACATGTAATTACAGAAATAAATACAATGAAACATCTTGAAGATTGGACCTGAATCTTAGCCTGAATAATAATAATAATAATAATAATAATATATTATTATTATTATTATTATTATTATTATTATTATTATTATATATTAATAATAACTGGGACTGTGGCGCAGCTGTCTGAGTGTCAGCTGCATTAAGATCACTTCTGACCAAAAGGTCATGAGTTTGAAGCCGGCCCGGGTTGGAGTGAGCTTCCAACCAATTGTGTAGCTTGTTGTTGACCTTTGCAACCCGAAAGACAGCTGCATCTGTCAAGTGAGAAAATTAGGTACCACCTATGTGTGGGGAGGCTAATTTAACTAATTTACAAGGCCATAAAAAAGACTCCAGCAAAGCACTCCAGCAAAAGCATGCGGGGAATGCGGAAGTACTTCATCAGTGTTGCAGATGGACAATGAAAGCAACAGCTCCCCTGCCGGCCGGAAAAGTTAAATAGCCTCTGACTGTCTGTCTATATGTGTGGTGTGTCATTGGCATTGAATGTTTGCCATATATGTGTACATTGTAATCCGCCCTGAGTCCCCTGCGGGGTGAGAAGGGCGGAATATAAATACTGCAAATAAATAAATAAATAAACTTTATTTAATGCTCCGCCACCATCTCCCCAATGGGGACTCAGGGCGGCTTACCTGAGGTCAAGCCCAGTAAAACCAAAACACAATAATAACACAGTAAAATACATACAACATATGAGTAGAAAAACAACGAAGCAAAATCATACCCAAAACAACATAACAATGAGCGGGCCGAATGTGCATTTCATTTCCAACATAAATTACACATAGTCTGAAGATGATTTAATTTCCGGCGAAACTCAAGAGATAATATGGATTCAGGAATAATGTGAATAATAACCTGCCGTCCCAATTGCTTGGACATAAGCAAACACCAGATCTGACTGGCCCTTTAAGGAGCCTTCCAGCTTCTGGAGGTCTTCCAGGGTCCGCAGATACTTGACTTCGTTGAAGAGGAGGGCGCTGGAAAGGGAAAAAAAGAGGAAAATGCATTATTCTACCATTACAGATCTAATTAATTTAAACTTATTAGAGCAGTGGTTCTCAACCTTTCTAATGCTGCGACCCCTTAATGCAGTTCCTCATGTCGTGGTGACCCCCAACCATAATATTATTTCCGTTGCTACTTCATAACTGGAATTTTGCTACTGTTATGAATCATAATATAAATATCTGATATGCAGGATGTATTTTCATTCACTGGACCAAATTTGGCACAAATACGTGAATACTGGTGGGGTTGGCAGGGGATTGATGTTGTCATTTGAGAGTTGTAGTGGGAGGTATAGTTTACCTACGATCAAAGAGCATTATGAACTCTAACAATGGAACTGAACCAATCTTGCCACACAGAACTCCCTTGAACAACAGAAAATACTGGAAGGGTTTGATGGGCATTGACCTTAAGGTTTGGAGTTGTAGTTCACCTACATCCAGAGAGCACTATGGACTCATACAATGATGGATCTGGACCAAACTTGCCATGAATACTCAATGTGCCCAATGTGAATGAACACTGCTGGAGTTTGGGGAAAATAGACCTTGGCATTTGAGAGTTTTAGTTGCTGGGATTTATAGTTCACCTACAATAAAAGATCATTCTGATCCCCACCAATGATAGAATTGGGCCAAACTTCCCACATGGAACCCCTATGACCAACAGAAAATACTATGTTTTTGGATGGCCTTTGGTGACCCCTCTGAAACCCCCTCGTGACCCCCCAGGGGTCCCGACCCCCAGGTTGAGAACCACTGTACTAGAGTTACTAAAGTTCCTAGTAACCATAACCACAGATTAGAACATCTGGGAGATCTCTTCTTGCTCAAAAACTGCACAAATGGTTTCCATTCTTAATTTGGAAACATAGGCCGAATTCGTACGGTTGCATATTCCTTATCCAAAATGATTCGGACCAGCGGTTGTTTTGGATTTTCTGTATTTTGGATTATCTACATTTGCATAAATGCACATAATTAGATAGGTGGCATTCAAAAATGTCCACAACCAGCCCCATGAGACCTGGGGTACATCTACATTGTACAATGAATGCAGTTTGACACCACTTTTAACACATGATTCTACGCTAATTACAACGAGCAGCCAAGTAGTAGTAAGATTTTAAATTGATTTTCAGACGGGGAAATATAGAAAAATAATCCCAACGCCGCTCAGCCAAATTATAACGATACATCACCACTATAGACTAGCTCACCAAAATAGAGAGGGAGCATGGTTGCTGAACCAACTGTATTTTTAAAAGATAGGAACTGGGAACCACTGGAACTGAGAGACTTAAAATGATTCTTCAAAAGATTTCCGCTGCCACCATATTAATAATACACAGGCTGAGGTATTATTGAGAGGTTGTTCAGTAACACTGTTGCGACCCAGAGCAGGAAACTGGACCCTAAGACAACAATCCACCACACTTGACTTCAGGAAAAACAATCCTTTTTATTGATGAAAGATGAGTACAAAAATAGAGGAAAATATGCAAGGTAAAAGCCACAGTAAAAATCACCAACAAGAAATGTCCATGAACAAGATCAAAAACCCACAGTAACACTGCTAAATCCTGGAACCTGTTAGCAATCCACTAACCGTACTTGAAGCACTAGAAAAACTCCTTGGAACAAAGCCACTGGAAGCAGGAGAACTGCAAGAATCTGCACATGAATCTGAAACGATGCCTGGTCTGAAGATGTATCCAGGCGAGAGGCACTTAAAGCCGAGAAATCTATTATGTGACACGCCTGAAGGCTTTGAAGGCCTTGTTTGCATTTCTCTCAATCTAGCTGACCTTCGTAGACCTAGCGATTCCCCCCTGCTCTGACAAATCTGTCCTCATTAGAGAGCCCAGGTGTCAGATTCTCTGAAGAGCCAAAACAAAGTGAAAGTTCACCACTTGGCTCTGAAATATTCTCATGGAAATTTGGACTTTCACTTTCCAAGGCTGCAGGGGTTTCTTCTACATTGACCTCAGAATCAACATCCTCATTAGCATCAGGAAATATATTAGCATCAGGAAATACAATCAGAGAATCAGGTTCAGGTTCACACACAGGGTGAACCCCAACAAACAACTCTGTGTCACTATAGTTTTCTTAAAGGCTGTTAAAACCTGAGTTGAATAACGCTTTGACCACAAAGGTATTCACACTGAGGCTAGTATAAGTTGAGAAAAATAACAAGAACGTTTATTGAACAGGCTTGAATATTTGAGGTACAAATGCTTAATGGTTTCAGTAAAATACTGGCATAAAAAACTTGTGGTTGCGTTTGAGTAAATATCTTTAAACACTTCTGGGTTACAAGTCTTAAAAGTTCCACCACATAAAATTACTTCAGGAAATAAATCTCTGAACGTAACTCCCAAAAATCCCCCTTAGGAATCTAGCCAAAAACCCTGAACTACACTTCCTTAGGAAATGAACAGACCTGTGCTGTCGCGCCTGAGGACTATAACTCTTAGTGAAAGAGGCATGGATGAGCTCTTAGTGAAAGAGGCATGGACGTGACATCTTTCCCCAGGGGATAGCTTCTTGCCCTCCTTTAGGAAACTGGAATTCTCAAAGACCCAAACACTGTAGATAACTCAAAATAAGTTTTATTGTTCACAAAGAGTTATCTCTTTAAGGCAATAAGCTGGAAGTTTCAACGGGGTGAAGGAAAATGTATATTACAGTCTCTGGTTGTCTTGGGTCCAAGAAGTTTTGAAGCTGAGAAGCTTTTCCAGGTCCCTCTTTCTCAATGGTTGTAAATGCCGAAGCAATTCACAACCCCAGTCCAGATGGCCTATGTTCGAAGACACAGGGTCTTCCTCTGGTGCCAAAGGAACTGGTCTGAAGGCGCTTGAGATTTCCCAACGTCGTTCAGGTTGATCTGAACATGAAGCATAAGTCTCAAGGGTAAGAACCTCAGAATTGGTGCTGAGAGGTAATTTAATCAGGGGCTTTTAGAGCCATCTGATAGAAAATCTGAAGGTGGAATGAAAAAAGGAAGCACTGCCCTCTTCCAGGAAGAGGTAGAGCCAAACAATTGAGCTGAAAAAGCAATTCAACTGGTGCAAACAACACTGAGTGTTGGGGTTCAGCCTGATCCTGATCTGTGTGAACCGGATTCTCTGACAGTTTTTCCAACTGAGCAAGCTCTCCCTGACCCTGACAGTGTGGAATCTGTTGTTGATGCAGAGGTCAGCAGCGATGAAAACGAAACTCAACAGCTGGAGGAAAATGTTTTGTTAGTTAGCCGTGATATCTCTCCACCTGGGGTTTTTAATGAGGACCGAAGAGAACAGATAGTTAGAGACAGAAATGTTTCCCAATTTCTACGAAGGTCACATCGTTTACAGGAGAGACAGGCCCAGACATCAAAGTCAAGGGGCGTTTCAAAGAATAGCTTCTTTGGTTTAAGAGGCCTCCTGTCGGGTGCCTCTTTAGATCAAGCAACGTTTGGGACTGTGGCTGTGCCTTGGCAGAATTCCTGTGTTTCATGGCCGGTAATCCCAGAGGCTTAGTTATCAAGTTCATGGTTAGTAAAAGGCTAACAGATTCCTGGTTCTTGTATTGTGGCTTTTGAAATTCTGCTCAAGTTCAGAGATTCTATTGACTGTTGTGTTTTTCTGTGGCTTTTTGACTTTGCATTTACCTTTCTTTTGTAACCAATTTTTCATCAATAAACAAGGATTGCTTTTCCTACAGTCCAGTGTGGTGGATTTAATCTTATGGTCTCATTTCTTGAACTGGGATGCAACACTGATTGACAGCTATAAATAACCAATCAATCCAACTATACATAAACAGGGTAAAAAGGCAGAATCCTAGCCTTCTGATTTTCCCTCCTAGACTTGAACACGCCCCCCCCCCTTAAGGCAAACCTAACCTAAGATGGCTTCTCCCTGTCTCCCTTTCCTAAAATGGATGCTGTGGCTTCGCATGGCCCACTCCCTTTAGGCTTTTGTCAGCTAGCTAAGGAAAGGGATTCATTACACTAATGAATCCTGGGATTTGATAAGTAACCAGCACTCTTTGGCAGAGAAGGCCAAAGTTCCTGCAAAACTATAGTTTCCAGTATTCCATAGAACTGGCCCATGATAGTTCAAGTGGTATCAAACTGTATCTATTCTGCAGTGCAGATGCACCCTTGGCTGGTTGTGCATCCCTATTGTTGCCAATTATTTCTTGCTCTGCCTTTTCTCCAAGATGGTGCTTCATCCCTCAAATCCTGGACTCTTCCAAAATCCCTGCAGCACAGAATGGGGGGAAATGACCAGGAAAAAGAAAAGCATCACTACTCACAAGAGGACATTGGCCACAATGGCATCCACGCTGAACAAGGCATCCGTAGGCAGCTCCCGAAGCAGCACGTGGCCCCTGCGGAGTAATCAGAATATCGCAAAATAAGAGGAAACAACAATAGATAACTGGGTGCAATCTCCAGGCAATACACGAGAGAAGATAAACATGAGCTGAAAGCACATAAAGAAAATTGAATTGTGGGAGTTGATGTCCAAAACACTTGGAGGGCCAAAGCTTGCCTATGTCTGCTTTCGCTGGAAATCCTGCATTTAGCAGAGGGTTGGACTAGATGGCCTTTGGGATCCCTTCCATCTTGATGATTCTAAATGATCACTGATTCTGATTATAAAAATCTTAAAAGGAATATGGGGGAAAAGAATGATTGATGAGGAGTTGTAGGTTTTTCGGGCTGTATGGCCACGTTCTAGAAGCATTCTCTCCTGACGTTTCACCTATATCTATGGCACGCATCCTGAGAGGTTGGCCTTACAACGTCTGAGGATGCCTGCCATAGATGCAGGTGAAACGTCAGGAGAGAATGCTTCTAGAACATGGCCATATAGCCTGCAAAACCTACAACAACCCAGTGATTCCAGCCACGAAACCCTTTGGCAATACAATGATTGATGACATAGAATGCATGATCATCAAGTTTGCAGACGACACCAAATTGGGAGGGATAGCCAATACTCCAGAGGACAGGAGTAGGATTCAAAACAATCTTGACATACTAGAGAGATGGGCCAAAACTAACAAAATGAAGTTCAACAGGGACAAATGCAAGATACTCCACTTAGGCAGAAAAAACGAAATGCAAAGATACAGAATGGGGGACGATGAGGCCTGGCTTGAGAGCAGGACGTGTGAAAAAGATCTTGGAGTCCTCGTGGACAACAAGTTAAACATGAGCCAGGAATGTGATGTGGTGGCAAAAAAAGCCAATGGGATTTTGGCCTGCATCAATAGGAGTGTCTAGGTCCAGGGAAGTCATGCTCCCCATGCTCTATTCCGCTTTGGTTAGACCACTTACCTGGAATATTGTGTCCAATTCTGGGCACCACAATTCAAGAGAGATATTGACAAGCTGGAATGTGTCCAGAGGAGGGCGACTAAAATGATCAAGGATCTGGAGAACAAGCCCTATGAGGAGCGGCTTAAGGAGCTGGGCATGTTTAGCCTGAAGAAGAGAAGGCTGAAAGGAGACATGATGAGGGCCATGTATAAATATGTGAGAGGAAGCCACAGGGAGGAGGGAGCAAGCTTGTTTTCTGCTTCCCTGGAGACTAGGACGCCATGGAACAATGGCTTCAAACTACAAGAGAGGAGATTCCATCTGAACATGAGGAAGAACTTCCTGACTGTGAGAGCCGTTCAGCAGTGGAACTCTCTGCCCCGGAGTGTGGTGGAGGCTCCTTCTTTGGAAGCTTTTAAGCAGAGGCTGGATGGCCATCTGTCAGGGGTGATTTGAATGCAATATTCCTGCTTCTTGGCAGAATGGGGTTGGACTGGATGGCCCAGGAGGTCTCTTCCAACTCTTTGATTCTATGATTCTGTGACATTCAGGAGGGCTCAACAAACATCCAAATTGAGAAAACAGTAATGCAGTTTGCAAATTTTTAGATGAATCAGGTCAGAATCAAAGCCAGCTTTCCCGTTTTATTTGAGATATATACCAACTTTTTTTGGAAACCCAATCACAACCCAGTTCCATCTAAGCGACGTCTGTAGTCTCTTCTACACTGCCACATAAAATCCAGATTATCTGCTTTGAACTGGAGTATATGACAGTGTAGACTAATATAATCCAGTTCAAAGTAGATTATGTGGATTATCTGCTTTGATAATCTGGATTATATTGCAATGTAAAAGGGGCCTGAGTTTGGTAACTTTTACCTTTGCAATCGGGTGAACGACTTACCTGAACAGGTACGCTTTCCCTATCGAATTGTCTTCTCTACAGTAACGTGAGGCTTCCCCTTCTTTGTGGCAGTTCACCTGTGACAAGAAAGGAAGGCATCTTATGATTATATTTATCAAGAGAGCATATCTGAAAATATTGGGCCAATTTTTCAGGCACCGCATTAGTTAACAAATTCCAGACGAATCTTAGTGTGGGTAACAGTTCCAAGCATACAATGAATGGCTGCACACATTATTTTTTTTCGTGTCAGGAGCAACTTGAGAAACTGCAAGTCACTTCTGGTGTGAGAGAATTGGCTGTCTGCAAAGACGTCGCCCAGGGGACGCCCAGATGTTTTGATGTTTCACCATCCTTGTGGGAGGCTTCTCTCATGTCCCCGCACAGGGAGCTGGAGCTGACAGAGGGAGCTCATCCGCCCTCTCCCCGGATTCGAACCAATGAATGGCTGCACATAATGAATCAATTGGGAGGGACCCCTAGAGGCCATCCAGCCCAACCCGATTCTGCCAGGCACAATCCAATCCCCACCAGCAGATGGGTATAAATAAACATTATTGTTGTTGTTGTTGTTGTTGCTGCTGCTGCTGCTGTTTGAAACACCACAAGATGAGTCCACAGCAGACAAGATCACTCTGCTGGCTGTTGTATTGGATCACACGTCGGATTGTGTGATGTATCGGCAAATAATGCGTGCAGATCCCTTTAAGGTGGCCTTTTGCAGCTGGCAGATGGTAATCTTTTCAGTGCCAATTGTATTTAAGTGCAGGCCAAGGTCTTTAGCCACTGCACCCAGATTATTATTATTATTATTATTATTATTATTATTATTATTACTATTATTAGCAGTTAAATTGGTTTCAAACTGCATAGTTTCTATAGGATAGTTGCAGGAAAACAACACTTCCTTCCACTTAAGAGGACATACTCTCAAATATTTTTACATGGCTATCATGTCCTCTTCTTCAATGTCTCTTCTCTAAGCGGGACCTTTTAAACAGAGGCTGGACGGACATCTGTCAGGGGTGCTTTGATTGTGCTTTTCCTGCATGGCGGAAAAGGATTGTATAATCCTCCTCCCAGTTCTCTCATTTCATTGTACTCATCCAGCCTTTTCCCTCCATGCATTTGATGGATGTATATACCTTTAAGACTGAAATTCCGTAATCTCGGAGGGCTTCGACGGAGTTTTCTAGCTGTTCCAAGAAAATCTCAGCCGACGGAGATGCTGCAAATGCAAACAAACGCTATTTCAGGCTCATAATCACAGTTATGATAATTAGAGTTACACACAGTTCACAGTTATGGTAATGACTAAAACTCCTTGCTGGACTGTAATTAAAAGTTGCAAATAAGAACTGAAAAGGAAACTCTGATCAGAACTGGACAGTAATAATCTACACCACACATGAGCAAACTTTGGCCCTCCAGCTGTTTTGGACCAACTCCCACAATTCCTAACAGTCTATAGGGGTCCCCAAACTTTTTGAACAGAGGGCCGGGTCACAGTCCCGCAAACTGTTGGGGGGCCGGATTATAATTTGAAAAAAAAAATGAATGAATTCCTATGCACTCTGCACATATATTATTTGCAGTGCAAAAAAAAACCCCAAAAATCAAAAAACAAAGACCCACACTTCTATATAAATAAAATGTAATGTTTGTTTGTGGGATTAACAGAACTCAAAAACCACTGGACGAATTGACACCAATTTTAGACACAAGACACCTAACAACCCAATGTATGTCCTTCACTCAAAAAAAATGATTTTGTCATTTGGGAGTTGTAGTTGCTGGGATTTATAGTTCACCTACAATCAAAGAGCATTCTGAACCCCACCAATGATGGAATTGAACCAAACTTGGCACACAGTTCTCCCATGACCAACAGAAAATACTGGAAGGGTTTGGTGGGCAGTGTCCTTTGGTTTTGGAGTTGTAGTTCACCTGCCTCCATCAATCACTGTGGACTCAATGATAGATCTGGACCAAACTTGGCACTGATATTCCATATGCCCAAATGTGAACACTTGTGGAGTATGGGGGAAATAGAATCTTGACGTTTGAGAGTTGTAGTTGCTGGGATTTATAGTTCACCTACAATCAAAGAGCATTCTGAACCCCATCAACGGTGGAATTGAACCAAACTTGGCACACAGTTCTCCCATGACCAATAGAAAATACTGGAAGGGTTTGGTGGGCAGTGTCCTTTGGTTTTATAGTTGTAGTTCACCTGCCTTCATCAATCACTGTGGACTCAATGATAGATCTGGACCAAACTTGGCATTGATATTTCATATGCCCAAATGTGAACGCTTGTGGAGTATGGGGGAAATAGAATCTTGACGTTTGAGAGTTGTAGCTGCTGGGATTTATAGTTCACCTACAATCAAAGCATTCTGAACCCCATAATGATAATTGAACCAAACTTGGCACACAGTTCTCCCATGACCAACGGAAAATACTGGGAGGGTTTGGTGGGCAGTGTCCTTTGGTTTTGGAGTTGTAGTTTACCTGCCTCCTTGGAGACCAGAGCGGCCGGAGCAGAGGGCTCCCGCGATGGGCGGAGCGGCGCCGGGTGGGCGTGGCCAGGCCAGGCCAGGCCGCGCGGGCCGGAGAAATGCCCTCGGCGGGCCACATACTGCCCGCGGGCCGTAGTTTGGGGACCCCTGGTCTACCGGCTGAGATTAGTTTCTTCCTCATATTCTGTATGTCACTATTTCACTAAAGCGTTCCCATTTTATTTGTAAATAAATAAAATTTCATTTCCTAACCAAAGGCAATACAAATGCAAGGAGCAAGAAGCACTCACTGTCCTTCCGAAAATAGACCAAGGCTGCTTTCGACCTCGGCAAGGTGCTGAGATGCTCCTCCTGGGAGCCGAGCTCCGGAATAGCATCCTCCTCTTCACATCTGGCCACATCAAAGATGAGGAGGAAGAAGAAGAAAAGATCCATTGGAAGGAACAGCACGGCTCCTGCAGTTCAATGTGGTCACAGAGGCACCGGCCCTTTAAAATGAAAAGCATCACTGTTATTGATGCAACTTGCATCGAGTCTCTTAACAGGGGTGCATCTGCACTGCAGGATTAACTAGAGTCACTAGTACTCAATACGATGGAATCCTCAGAGCTGCAAACAAGACCTTGTAGAACTGCAACTCCCAAGATTCTAGAGCATTGAGCTAAGGTTGTTCAAGTGGTGTCCAATTGCATTAAGTCTATATAGCTGCACCCTATAAGGACATTTCGCAGATGACATGCAGAATATATTATTTATTTATTTATTTATCCCACAAGTGGGATTCAAAGCGGTGTACAATGGTTAAAAACCACAGAAATTTCATAACACAAGAAATCAGCACAGCTGACCAAAAGGTCAGCGCTTCGAATCCGAGGAGTGGGGTGAGCTCCTGCTGCTAGCTCCAGCTTCTGCCAAACTAGCAGTTTGAGAACATGCAGATGTGAAATCAATAGGTACCCAAACGTCCATCTAGTCCAACCCCCTTCTAGAAGAATGAAGACACAATCAAAGCCCTCCCTATAGATGGCCACTCCACTCCTGTTTAAAAGCCTCTGAAGGACAAAAAAAGGGGAGACACATAATGGCATTGTGCTTGAAAAGGAAGAGGTGGAAGAGACCCCAAGTATCATCCAGGAAGACATCATATTGGGAGGGATACCAATACTCCAGGAGAAGAAGTCAAAACGATCTTGACAGATTAGAGAGATGGGACAAAACTAACAAAATGAAGTTCAACAGGGACAAATGCAAGATACTCCACTTTGGCAGGAAAAACGAAATGCAAAGATACAGAATGGGGATGCCTGGCTCGAGAGCAGTACGTGTGAAAAAGATCTTGGAGTCCTCGTGGACAGGAAGGTAAACATGAGCCAACAATGTGATGTGGCAGCAAAAAAAGCCAATGGGATTTTGGCCTGCGTCAATAGGAGCATAGTGTCTAGGTCCAGGGAAGTCTTGCTCCCCATGCTCTATTCCGCTTTGGTTAGACCACACCTGGAATATTGTGTCCAATTCTGGGCACCACAATTCAAGAGAGATATTGACAAGCTGGAATGTGTCCAGAGGAGGGCGACTAAAATGATCAAGGGTCTGGAGAACAAGCCCTATGAGGAGCGGCTTAAGGAGCTGGGCATGTTTAGGCTGAAGAAGAGAAGGCTGAGAGGAGATATGATAGCCATGTATAAATATGTGAGAGGAAGCCACAGGGAGGAGGGAGCAAGCTTGTTTTCTGCTTCCCTGGAGACTAGGACGAGGAACAATGGCTTCAAACTACAAGAGAGGAGATTCCATCTGAACATGAGGAAGAACTTCCTGACTGTGAGAGCCGTTCAGCAGTGGAACTCTCTGCCCTGGCGTGTGGTGGAGGCTCCTTCTTTGGAAGCTTTTAAACAGAGGCTGGATGGCCATCTGTCAGGGGTGATTTGAATGCAATATTCCTGCTTCTTGGCAGGGGGTTGGACTGGATGGCCCATGAGGTCTCTTCCAACTCTGATTCTATGATTCTATATCGTGTGATATGTCATGCTGGAAGACACAATCCAATCCCTCCTGACAAATGGGTGAAGCACGAGTATTCTTGTGCAGGGGAGGCTAAAGGCCTTGTAAAACTATAATGCCCAGAATCCTATCACATGCAGCTATGGCAATTAAAACAGTGTCTCTAGTGTAGACGCGTCCGTCGTTTCACTGTAAAATAAATGACATTTGCTAGCCCTAAACACTTAGATTCCTGGTTCGCAAACAATAAGCCCATTCAGATTGACATTTTGGTTGTTTACTCTTTTTGCACAGAAAGGCATTCCTTCCCAACTTTTTTAACATTGGAAAGTACCAAATATTTCAGTTCTTGTGGGTTTTTTCGGGCTATATGGCCATGTTCTAGAGGCATTTCTCCTGATGTTTCGCCTGCATCTATGGCAAGCTTCCTCAGAGCTTGCCATAGATGCAGGCGAAACATCAGGAGAAATGCCTCTAGAACATGGCCATATAGCCCGAAAAAACCCACAAGAACTGAGTGATTCCGGCCATGAAAGCCTTCGACAATATACCAAATATTTTCTGGTAACTATAATTGATATTAAGATTTAATCTATGGATGAATGCAAAGTTTCCTGCAAATCTCTTGGGAAGACAAGCGGACAAATGTCAGTGTGCTGGAAGAAGCAAAGACCACCAGCACTGAAGCCATAGTCCTCCGCCATCATCTCCGCTGGACCGGCCACGTTGTCCGGATGCCCGACCACAGCCTCCCAAAGCAGTTGCTCTGCTCCGAACTCAAGAACGGAAAACGGAATGTTGGAGGATAGGAAAAGAGATTCCAAAGCCAACCTTAAGAACTCTGGCATAGACACTGAGAATTGGGAAGCCCTGGCCCTTGAGTGCTCTAGCTGGAGGTCAGCTGTGACCAGCAGTGCTGTAGAATTTGAAGAGGCACAAATGGAGGGAGAAAGAGAGAAACGTGCCAAGAGGAAGGCGCGTCAAGCCAACCCCAATCGGGATAATAATAATAATAATAATAATAAATGTGCCAACTGCATCAACACAATATTCAAATTCAATGCTTTGTTCAAGAGGGCTGGTGAGACGAAAAATAAAATAATTATAATTATAATTATTATTCAATAATGATAATAATAAATGTGCCCATTGCGTCAACACAATATTCAAATTTGATGCTTTGTTCAAGAGGGATGGTGCGACGAAAAATAAAATTACTATTATTATTATTATTATTATTCAATAGCAATAATTATTGAATATTAAAAATCAGTATTAAAAAACTCAAAAATTACAACAGCAAAACAACAGAGAGTAAACAATCAGGCACATCAAATCACTCTCAACAAAAGATTCCCCCCAGGCACTTCCAAGCCATTAAATGCTAATCAAGGTGGTCAGTTGAAACATTCACACCTAGCTCCAGCAGGCAAGAGTCCTTTGTCCCACCCTGGTCATTCCACAGATATTATATATATATATTATATATTATATATTATATATTATATATAGTTCCAACAGACCTCACTACCTCTGAGGATGCTTGCCATAGATGCAGGTGAAACGTCAGGAGAAAATGCCTCTAGACCATGGCCATATAACCTGAAAAACCTACAACAACCCAATAATAATAAATGTGCTCACTGCGTTAACACAATATTCAAATTCGATGCTTTGTTCATGAGGGCCTATAAGCAAGTCCTATAAATAATAAAAATATAAATAAATAAATAATATACATAAGTGCCTATAAACAAGTCCTAAAGCTGAGTCCTTATTTGATTGTTTATGTAAACAATGCCATTAAAAAGTCCCAAGATCTGGTTTCTTAGGTCTATTTATTCCAGGAAGCAAACAACTGAGGATTGTCAATAGAGAAAGGATTCGAATTCAGATCTTCCCTTTTTGGGGGGTTGGAATGGATGACCTTTGGGGAACCCTTTCCAACAATGCAAGGCTATGATGCAAAGGATTGGGGGCCATTTAAAGGCCCAGGTTTTAACTATGACTCCTGTATGCATAAAATCCAAAACAACCCAAAACAACTCATAATGGTTCTCAATAACCCATAAATAATAAATAAATAATAAATGCAAATTAATAATAATAATTAAAATAATAATAAAAAATAAATAATTGCAAATTAATAATAATAAATAAATAATAATAATAATAATAAATAATAAATGCAAAATAATAATAATAATAATAAATGCAAATATATAATAATAAATAAATGCAAATAAATAAATAATAAATAAATGCAAATTAATAAATAATAATAAGTGCAAATTAATTAATAATAATAAATAATAAATAAATGCAAATATATAATAATAATAAATAAATAAATGCAAATAAATAATAATAATAAATAAATAATAAATGCAAAATAATAATAATAATTAATAAATGCAAATAAATAATAATAAAAAATAAATAATTGCAAATTAATAATAATAAATAATAATAAATAATAAATAAATAAATAATAATAATAATAATAAATGCAAATTAATAATAATAATAATAAATGCAAATATATAATAATAAATAAATGCAAATAAATAAATAATAAATAAATGCAAATTAATAAATAATAATAAGTGCAAATTAATTAATAATAATAAATAATAAATAAATGCAAATATATAATAATAATAAATAAATAAATGCAAATAAATAATAATAATAAATGCAAATTAATTAATAATAATAAATAATAAATAAATGCAAATAAATAATAATAATAAATAATAAATAAATGCAAATTAATAACAATAATAATAATAAATGCAAATTAATTAATGCAAATTAATGCACAGAGACCCATCCTATCAAAGAAGAAAAGCCAGGCTTACATTGAGAGCTGGCCTAATTCTGTGCAATCTGTTGGGTTTTGGGGAAAAGATCCTTGGCAGAGGCTTCTGATTATAAATAGATAAGATATATTTAAAATATGGGATGCTTAGCAAGCCAAGGAGAAAAGCAGCCAAGCCTTTGCAATCAAATCTAAGACAATTTTCAGATTTTTAAATTGCTTTTGCAAGAAAAGGAAGCCTGGTTTTGAATATATACCTCCAAGGCTGGTTTTATTTTTCAGTTTTCTATTGCAACGCCCGGAATACTTCTGCATGCAAAAAAAACAAAACCATTACATAATGTATAATATAATATAATATAAGAACTAGAGAATTGGTCAAAATAACATAATATTATTTTGCAAAATGCAAGCTAAAACCCCAAAACAAACATATAATATAATATAATATAATATAATAACTAGAGAATTGGTCAAAATAACATAATATTATTTTGCAAAATGCAAGCTAAAACCCCAAAACAAACATATAATATAATATAATATAATATAATATAATATAATATAATATAATATAATATAATATAAGAACTAGAGAATTGGTCAAAATAACATAATATTATTTTGCAAAATGCAAGCTAAAACCCCAAAACAAACATATAATATAATATAATATAATATAATATAATATAATATAATATAATATAATATAATATGATATAATATAATATAATAAGAACTAGAGAATTGATCAAAATAACATAATAACAAAATATAATAATATTATTTTGCAAAGAGCTCCTATTCAATGCAGGCCTCTTTTTAGCTCCGGGTGGGCGGAGAAAAAGGGGGAAGGGTGAAAAAAGAAAAGGACCAAAAAGAAAAACAACCCTGATGCAGAAGGAATGAGAAAAAGAGGATGAGAAAGAGGTGGAGAAATCCGGAGCGGGCGGGCGGCGCCAACCTAAAAATCCACGCCCCTTCCCTGAGTCTAAGCGAGAGAGGGATGCAAGAGGGAAAGGAGGCGGGGAGACACTTCCGAGGGGCCAATGACGGCGGCGCTGTGCACACCGCGGGCCAATCAGGAGGCGAGGCTGAGCCTCAAAACTCGCTTGTTGTTGCTGAGTTTGCGGAGAGAGCAGGCGGCGGTGGTGCGACTCGGGAGGGTGCAATCTGAACCCAAGGGTTCCAATGGGCCGGGGTGTGAGAGCCATGCAAGCCGGGGAAAGGTGGTGGTAAGGCGGGGAGGCTGCCAGGAGGATGGCGGCGGCGGGGCTGCAGCCCGGGCTGGAGCTGGGCGCGAGGCTGGTGCAGGGTCTTCTCTGCGGCGGCCTCTTCCTCTTCGCCTACCTGCAGCTCTGGCTGCTGCTCTGCGGGAGGGAGAAGCGGCTGAGCTTCCGCGCGGCGGGGCTCTTCCTGGGTCTGCTCTGGGCCGCCCTCCGCACCGTCCTCTGCGCCGCCCTCCTCCCGGCACGCCCCCGCCGGAGCCTCCCCGCCGCCCCCCGCTGGCTCCTCGGCGCCGCCCCCGCCGCCCTCCGCTTCGCCGCACTCGCTCTCCTCAACCTCTACTTCGCGCAGGTGAGTCACCACCTGAGCCCTCCCCGCAGGTGGCCAGGCAGACCCTCCTGGAAGAATTCCCAAAAGGACCTAGGCTTGCATTCATACAGTCCTAGAGTTGGAAGGGGTCCCTAAAGGCCATCCAGGCCAAGCCCAGTTACATTCATTGAATCAAGGGGTCCCCAAAGGTCATCCAGTCCACCCACCTTCTAAAGCCCTCCTGACAGATGGCCAGGCAGCCCCTGCTGGAAGAATTCCCAAAGGACAAGCTTGCATTCATAGAGTCCTAGGGTTAGAAGGGGCCCCCCAAAGGCCATCCAGTCCAAGCTCGTTTACATTCATTGAATCAAGGGGTCCCTAAAGGCCATCCAGTCCAAGCCCAGTTACATTCATTGAATCAAGGGGTCCCCAAAGGTCATCCAGTCCACCCACCTTCTAAGCCCTCCCGACAGATGGCCAGGCAGTCCACAGGCTTGCATTCATACAATCCTAGAGTTGGAAGGGAGCCCCCAAAGGCCATCCAGTCCAAGCCCAGTTACATTCATTGAATTTAGGGGTCCCCAAAGGTAATCCAGTCCACTCACTTTCCAAGCCCTCCTGACAGATGGCCAGGCAGCCCCTAGGCTTGCATTCAGACCATCCTCCAGTTGGAAAGGGGGTCCCAAGGTATCCGTCCACCCACCTTCTAAAGCCCTCCCGACAGATGGCCAGGCAGCCCCTAGGCTTGCATTCATACAGTCCTAGAGTTGGAAGGGGGTCCCCAAAGACCATAGTCCAAGCTCGTTTACTTTCATTGAATCAAGGGACCCCAAAGGCCATCCAGTCCACCCACCTTCTAAAGCCCTCCCGACAGATGGCCAGGCAGCCCCTACTGGAAGAATTCCCAAAGGACAGCCTTGCATTCAGAATCCTAGAGTTGGGAAGGGTCCCCAAAGGCTATTCAGTCCATCTACCATTTAAGCCCTACTGACAGATGGCCAGGCAGCTCCAGTTGGAAGTACCTGCTAAGGACAGGCTTGCATTCATACAGTCTTAGAGTTAGAAGGGGCACCCCAAAGGCCATCCAGTCCACCCTCCAGGCAGCCTCTGCTGGAAAAGCTTGCAAAGGACATGCTTGCATTCAGACCATCCTCCAGTTGGAAAGGGGTTCCCAAAGGCTATCCAGTCCACTCACTTTCCAAGCCCTCCTCACAGATGGCCAGGCAGCCCCTGCTGGAGGAATCTACAAACAGCAGGTTTGCATTCATAGAATCCTAGAGTTGGAAAGGGGCCCCCAAAGGCCATCCAGTCCAAGCTCATTTACATTCATTGAATCAAGGGACCCTAAAATGACAACCAGTCCACCCACCTTCTAAGCCCTCCCGGCAGATGGCCAGGCAGCCCCTAGGCTTGCATTCATACAATCCTAGAGTTAGAATGGACCCCCCAAAGGCCATCCAGTCCAAGCCCAGTTACATTCATTGAATCAAGGGGACCCCAAAATGACATCCAGTCCACCCACCTTCTAAAGCCCTCCCGACAGATGGCCAGGGTGTTCCTGCTGGAGGAACCCCCAAAGGACAAGCTTGCATTCATAGAGTCCTAGAGTTGGAAGGGGTCCCCAAACGCCTTCCAGTCCAAGCCCAGTTACATTCATTGAATCAAGGGGTCCCCAAAGGCCATCCAGTCCACACACCTTCTAAAGCCCTCCCGACAGATGGCTAGACCACCCCTGCTGGAGGAATCCCCAAAGGACAGGCTTGCATTCATACAGTCCTAGAGGTAGTCCAAGCTCATATACAGTCCAAGCTCATTTACATTCATTGAATCAAGGGGACCCCAAAGGTAATCCAGTCCACTCACTTTCCAAGCCCTCCTGACAGATGGTCAGGCAGCCCCTGCTGGAAGAATTCCCAAAGGACAGGCTTGCATTCATGGAATCTTAGAGTTGGAAAGGGTCCCCAAAGGCTATTCAGTCCATCTACCATTTAAGCCCTCCTGACAGATGGCCAGGCAGCCCCTGCTGGAGGAACCACCAAAGGACAGGCTTGCATTCATACAGTCCTAGAGTTGGAAGGGGTCCCCAAAGGCCATCCAGTCCAAGCTCATTTACATTCATTGAATCAAGGGGTTCCCAAAATGACATCCAGTCCACCCACCTTCTGAGCCCTCCCGACAGGTGGCCAGGCAGCTCCTAGGCTTGCATTCATACAATCCTAGCGTTGGAAGGGGTCCACAAAGGCCACCCAGTCCAAGCCCATTTACATTCATTGAATCAAGGGGTCCCCAAAGGCCATCCAGTCCACCCGCCTTGTGAGCCCTACCGACAGATGGCCAGCCAGCCCCTAGGCATGCATTCATACAATCCTAGCGTTGGAAGGGGCCCCCTAAATGCCATCTAGTCCAAGCTCGTTTACATTCATTGAATCAAGGGGTGCCCAAAATGACATCCAGTCCATCCACCTTCTAAAGCCCTCCCGACAGATGGCCAGGCAGCCCCTGCTGGAGGAACCCCCAAAGGACAATCTTGCATTCATAGAATTGGAAGGGGTCCCCAAAGGCCATCCAGTCCAAGCCCAGTTACATTGAATCAAGGGATTCCCAGAGGTCATCCAGTCCAGCCACTTTCCAAGCCCTCCTGACAGATGGCCAGGAAGCACCTGCTGGAAGAACCCCCAAAGGACAGGCTTGCATTCATACAATCTTAGAGTTGGGAAGGGGCCCTCTTAAGGCCATCCAGTCCAAGTCCAGTTACATTCATTGAATCAAGGGGTCCCCAATGACCATCCAGTCTTTCCAAGCCCTCCCGACAGATGGCCAGGCAGCCCCTGCTGGGAGAACTCCCAAAGGACAGGCTTATATTCATACAATCCTAGAGTTGGAAAGGGGACCCCAAAGACCATCCAGTCCACCCACCTTCTAAGCCCCCTGATAGATGGCCAGACCGCCCCTGCTAAAAGAGCTTGCAAAGGACAGGCTTGCATTCATACAATCCTAGTGTTGTAAGGGGCCCCCCAAAGGCCATCCAGTCCACCCACCTTGTTAGCCCTCCCGACAGATGGCCAGGCAGCCCCTGCTGGAGGAACCTAGAAATGGCAGGCTTGCATTCATATAATCCTGGACTTGGAAGGGGCCCCTAAAGGTCATCCAGTCCACTCACCTTCTAAGCCCTCCCCACAGATGGCCAGCCAGCCCCTGCTGAAGAGCTTGCAAAGGACAGGCATGCATTCATTGAATCCTGGACTTGGAAGGGAACTCCAGAAGTAATCTACTCCAAGCCCATTCTTGCCACGAAGACATACCCAATCAAAGCCCTCCCGACAGATAGCTAGACTGCTTCTGCTGTAAGAAGACCCCCAAAGGCCATCCAGTCTACCCACCTTCTAAGCCTTCCCAACAGATGACCAGACCGCCCCTGCTGGAAGAGCTTAACTAGGCTCATATTCATACAATCCTAGCTTTGGAAGGGGGTCCCCAAAGGTCATCCAGCCCATCCAGGTTCTAAGTTCTCTCTGCCAGGTAGGGATGCCCAATCTAAGCCCTCCCCACAGATGACCAGGCAGCTGGACGACCCCCAAAGGACAGGCTT